CTGATTTTCCAAATATTTCAGTGAATGCACCAAATAAAAGGATATTTACTAAAAATTTTTCCAAATGTCAGTAATTGTTTGCTAGTTGTGTCCATCAAGTTTTTTTTTTGTGTGTGTGTTTTTTTCACCCCTTCACCCACCTTCAACATTTCGGTCTCCAGATGTTGTACACAGTATTATTAATCCATTATTATTTTCAGCAGCAGCACATTAGCTACTCACTTACAATGATGTCAGACCTTGACACTGATAGCGTGCTTACTTATCTTTACTGTAATAATATGAGGATGTGACGGATGATTGTGTCACATGCTGCCCACCACGAGCTTTGTCATTATTAGTGTAGGGTGAAAATTTGTGCTGCTGTTCCAAGTGTCAGCAGATTTTAAAACACCTACACTTGTCGTACAGGGATAAAACTCTCAAGAACACATCTATAATTTTACTTTTTAATAAAAAGGGATGTCTGATGAAAGCTGATTCAAACTGCGAAAAGAAAAAAAAAACTTGACATTTATCCTCTAAGATCTAATTCATTATTAATGTCAAGTGAATCCTTCTTTCTTTTCTTTGTCTAGGGGCTTTGTGCTGGACGGGTCGCAGCGGGAAATATTATTTGCATGTGTTTCATCTCACATGTCCCAAGCTGTGCTTCACACTAAAGGCATTATGAGCCACGAATGATGATGCATTGTTCTGCCATGCACACACACACCCACACACACCTGTTCTCACACGGTGGGAGGCTCACATAAAAACAAATCTATGCTCATGAAAGGGTATGATAGGCTCTGTCACTTGTGTTTTCTGTGTCAGGCATTGTTTAGAGAGATAGAAACAACCACCTTGTTACACTGCATAATATCTCTTAGAGCCTGGATTTGACTCTTTTTCCGTGGATGCGTTAAGAAAATTGCAAATAATTTGCAGTGTTTGTTTTTGCTCCTTGGAGGAGAGGTGAGGTGGACAGGTTTGCAAGTCAAGGCTTTCGAACGCGCTGATTAAAACGTCTTTCTGTGGATTTCCTGATCGTGGTAATAATGTGGCAATCACTCTCTTCCTCTCGGTTGTAAAGCCCACCCACATGGGATTGCGAGCGAGATCAATCAAATGCAAATACTGTTAGATCCAGGTCTGCTTTGTTGTAATGAATTCTCTGTCTACTCTGCTTTGTCTCAGATTTGACCTGATGTCATGTCAAATAACGCAAAGATGCCAGCAAACGCTGCTGCATTTCCTCTGCCAGCCATTATATCATAGCTAGAGGTGCTGAAGTGACCTGTATCTGCTCCGGTATGGTTGTCTAGTGGACAGCAAGGGGGCAGGGGCCGTTTGCTCTATCTCCCCCCTTCTGATTTAATCGCCCCACAGGGACCTGCTTAGGCTATCCACTTCATGATTCCCATTTGGTGGTTAGAACCCTGATGGGGGTGTTTAAGGCTTAACATTCCCATTTGTTTTCCTGTAGGTAATCGATGGCAGACTCAGGGTTACAGCTAATGTGATTTATGTGTCCTATTTCCATTGTTATGCTTCATGTACAAATTGTCTTCGGTGAAGTAAATTCCCCAATCTTCTCCCAGCTTGCTGACACTGAATATCGGCTGCCAAACCCAAACGATTAATCCATGTTTGTGTCCAGGTCCTTTTGTTTTTTTCCTCTTAAACAATCTGCAAATCATGACATGCTGTAACAGTGAAACTTGAGTCGCCCCTTATCACTCATCTTTATGTACAATGAGCTAAAATTTCAAAGATTTCACCCACACGTCTTGCAGAAACATCGTTTTAAGCCTCACGTTAATGGGAAGGTGTTTCTATTTGGATTCGGTGCAGAGCAGCACAGTGAAATTAATCATACCCTACTCTTGACTCTTAAGTAAATCATCTGCAGTCGAAACACAAAGCAAATCTAATCAGCCTATTCATTCAGTGATGCATACCCTTGTAATTATGCCACTACCTGCAGCACTTAGGTGCACATTAATACCCTCTTTCAGTGTTGCTCTGGGGGAACATTGACGCAATTAGTATGAATTGTGTGAGAAAACGGCATACTGTGTTTAAATGTCGGACAATAAAATCTTAATCAAGTGGACGTATGTGCTGTATCTTTGTAATAACTTTGAGTAAAAACCTTGTAGATATTTTCTTCTTGCGAAAATATCCTAATATCGCTCATCGACTGTCGGGGAATTAGGTGAGAGAGGGGTCCGCAAACAGTGACCACAAATGGGAAAGTAAAGAAAGTAAAGCTGCTTCTTGCGCTACGAATTGCAACCAGCCATAAGGAGAGTCTCCTCTTGAAAGCACATTTTCTTATAGCTCCATTGTTTAGAAAACACACTTTATGTGTTATTTAAGCTGAGTTCAAGGTACAATGTGCAGCAGTGAATTCCTCCCATGATATCTCTTTTGACAAGATGAGAAAACACGTTTCTCAAGCTGCTGCACTCGGTTGTCAAGGGAACATTTCTGAAAAATGGAGTGTTATGCTCTGAGAAAGCATGCTCAAATATTTGCATAAAGCCAAATACCATGTTTAGAAACAAACAGATTGAACTGCAGGTCCAAAATGACGAGGCCCCTGCTGTAGCCGTTCCATTGCTTTTCTCTTTTTGTGCCTTCTGATAGTTGATTGTCAATGCTGATGCTAGACAATATTATGGAGAATGTGACTGGGGGTTTATTGTCTGCTATCTGTTGTGTTAGCTGCCTGGAGCTGAACTGTGATGATGCAGTGTCCCTGTCCAAGAGCCAAGGACAGTCCTCTGCAAGAGGCTGAGCAGACTCTGATGGACGAAGGAGAGAGGGCACAAGAGGACAGAAGACTTCTGAAGCACTCTTGGCATCAAATATAGCATCTTGCTTGTATAACAGTATAATTACATTAATCAAGACTGAGATCTTTGACAGCAGCTGACAGTAAAAAACAACAACAACAAAAAAAAACCCAGCATAAACATGCGTGTAAATCACCTTTCCATAAAAGAGACGGTGATGTGATTTCCTCACAGATTTAAAGATGACAATACATAAATGCTGAGCATTTATAACTGAAGATAGAGAGCAGATGTGACTCAGTCCGAGCCCAGGTTAACTGCCCTGTTTAATGGAGAAGTTATATAGACTTGGATTCCATTATATATATCACAAAAGGCATGTAAATGAAGATATAAATTATATATTAGTGGACGAGATGTGGGAGGAATAAGAAAGAGGAGAACACGCGGTGTATCAATCTCCATACTGATTCTAGGGGGAGTGAAACTATTAAGATCACAGGGCTGTTCCCGAGCGGTATAGGCAAACCGTCTACTGATTTACATTACAATTCAGGCGTTTAGCCGACACTGATACCCATGTGACTTTGAGTGAAAGAGTGTAGCAGGTGTAGCACCTACCGTAAGTTCCCTGCTCAAGGCAGTGTGTGTCTGCTGCCTGTTGTGGGGATCAGACTTGTGACCCAGCAACCATCTTTAATAATCAGTTAAATATGTTGCAGTAGCATTTCGTACCAGCTGGTATTAAACTGACGACTGCAATGTGTTTGATTGTGATTGTTAAAATGCATTAAAATGTTGTGGATGGAACATCAACTTTACAGTTTGCAAAGAAGGGTATAATTCGTCATCATGGCCCAATTATGGTCGATAAATCCAGGAGGAAATAGTCAATAAGAAATCTGCTGAAAGGCAAATGGCTGCTTCACTTGACTTCTTTTTCAGACCTCCATATGCTTCCATGATAAAGGCATGATAGAAGTTATAAACAGCCGTGATTGCAGGTGTCAGCTGATGCGCAGCTGGTAATTCTGTAACCATATCCATTTGAGTGCAAAAAAGAAAAAAAAACAACAAATAAAAAAAAATCAGCATGATTGATTGCAATTATGTTTTGTTGTCATTCCAGAGTCGGATGAAAAGTGCAGCCACGGTTGCATAGAAGACCAATAGTTTTTGACTCTTCAATAACCGCAATTCATGAAGTGAGCAGTAAATGGCTTCATACTGTACTAATGAAAGCAGTTTGGTTCCTCTGAGGGAGGATTATCCCTAATTGGCCCAGCTGGATAAACAGAGCTGGTGGTGTTAGCATACTGCATGGCAAAGCAAACACACCAACCTATTCCTACCTTTCTAAAAAAATTAACTTTCTTTTTTTTTTTTTTTTGCAAAGGTATTATCTCCACGCCCAGGCATTATTACATCTCAGGGGATAAAAATGTTTCCTTTGACATTTGGTCCCACCCAGCACATCTCCCGGTGTTCCTTTTTCCTCTCCTCAGTTCGTGTCATTCTTCCTCCTCGTCACTTTTCCCTCCCTTTCTTTTTCTCTACGTCTGTACCTCCCCACCTCTTCTCACCCCTCATCTCTTTGGGTTACTGGCCCTGTCTTAGTCTCCTGATTCAGTGCTCCATTGGCAGATCAATAGAAAGGCTCTCTGTCAAGAGAGGCGTTGAACCCCCCCCCAATACCCCCATCTTCCTCTCTTCAATCCCCCTCCTACCCCCACCCTAACCTCCCCATGTCTCCCCAGATGACTGCAGACACACATCCTCCTGGGAAGCTGGCTTTCTACATCCCATACTGGAGAGCATCTCCCCCCCCCTCTCCTCTCCGGATCACTTTTCATCTCCATTCACCTCGAACTTGGGAGAGGTAGAACTGCACGGCGCCATAATGGGCTTTTTAAAGAAGACGGAGACCGGCGGCTTTTTCTCGGAGCCAAAACAGAAAACAGCCCGAGAAAATAGGATATCAGTGCAAGACACAATGTGAAAAGCAGAAAGGGAAGTGAGAGAGGTAAAGAAAAAGAAAGGCAATGGAAAACAGGATGAGAGGAAGAGAGAGAAGTTGTGCATTCAGCTAAGCTGCAGAACGCTGGCTCCCTCCCCAACCCCTTTCCCACCCTGCTTTTCTCCACCCCCTGGAAAAGTGTTCTGTCTCTCTCTCTCTCGCTCTCTCTACCTCTTTTCTCTCTCCTCTCTGCAGCTGTGGTCTGCTGAGCGTCACCTCCACACAGCAAGTGCCTTTACTTGGGCAGAACAGGGAGAAGGAGCGTAGCTGTGAGAGAGACACACGGAGAGAAAGGGGGGAAAAAAATCTCAGGAGTGTGTCTCAACGCACCAGAGGAGCATCTCTCTGACTTCGGAGCGGGCTGAAGAGCGCACAGAGACTGACGGGCAGAGACAAGCAGCGGCGTTGGAGTATAACAGTGCTGGTGGTGTTGGCAGAGCACGCCAAGTGGACACAGGGGAATCCACCGGCGCTGTTGATCCTGGTGTCCCTGGCAAGAAAGAAACAACAACAAAAAAACTGCTTGAGCGGGAGACAGAAAGCGGTGCAGCAGCCAGGATCTCGCCAGGGGGGCAGCATTTTACAGCGACAACGAAGCGTGGAGACAGCTGAAACCTGCGCGCAGACACACTCTCTCTCCCACACACGCGCGCACATGCAAACAGTGAGTGTGAGCGAAAAGGGACGCTCGCGGTGCTTTCAAAAGAGCCACAAAAATCCTTCTTCTTGTGAAACGCACATACTTGCACAGGAAAGCAACACAAAACCTTTCATCTTCTTCGGCCAGGGATGGTGGATGATGAAGGAGAAAACTTCTGGAGAGGAAATTGTCTTTGAAGCAGGACTTACTGCTGAGGTTTTGTATTTTTAATCAACTTTGTCACCACCACCCTGTTTTTTTCTTTTTTGAAGTTGGGGCATTTTAAAGCCTCCGTCTAAGCACAACAACTAAACAACCTCTATTCTTAGAGGCAGAAATCGAGAGCTGTCTTTGTGACCATCAAGATGTCTATTCCTGATTCGGTCTGATTGGTAAGTGGATTATGACGGCAGGATTTGGGGATTTTTCTTTCACCTGAAGAAAGAAAGAAGGAAAGAGCGACAGAAACCTATCCATGATTGGTGGATTTATGGCTGTCAGAGAAGGAGAGGATCCCTTGCCTTTTCTCCTTTCTTCCCCTGTGGATTACAGATGGGCTTTGTGATCTCCCAGTGCAGTCTCATGGATGATCGCTCGCTGCCAGTCATTAGGATAAAGTACAAAGAGGGACACAAGTGAGTATTCAGCTGGATTTTTATCTCTCCAGCTTAAGCTTGCATGAAAACAAGGGTGTCGAGAGTGAATCTGTAACGAGAGCACATCGCAGCAGCTTTTCTCTTTTAGTAAGAGTAACTGCAACTCGCTGATTAAACTGTTGTGTTCCCTGAATAATTATCAGAGCGTAAAAAGGTAGGCACATCCTGAGATATTAATTCACAGACAAGTGAAGCTGTATGTTTACAGACCATTTACCAATTAACACAATTTACTAAATGAGGGGTGCTGTCTACCCGGCAGGTGGCTTGGGCACAGGCGGAGATTGATTGAAGTGATCTGTGTGAATCCTATTAATGCATCCTGGATTGTGGCCAAGAAAGAAGCAATGGAGGGGAACACCGCTGTCTAGCAGCGCTATCTGATCTGCCTCTCACTGGACAACTGAGGACCCTCTGCACTCCCTCTTCAACGACACTCCTCCTCCTCTTCCTCTCAGACAGGATGGTACCCCCGCCTCCCACCAACAAACCCCACGTGTGCTTGTCCACCATTCTGATCATGAGCAGCATGGCGCTGATTGATGCCTACCTGGTGGAGCAGAATCACGGCCCCCGCAAGATCGGCATCTGCATCATGGTGATGGTGGGAGACATCTGCTTCTTAATTGTCTTGCGTTACGTGGCAGTGTGGGTGGGCGCCGAGGTGCGCACAGCGAAGCGAGGCTACGCCATGATTCTCTGGTTTCTTTACATCTTCGTGCTGGAGATCAAGGTCTACTTTGTGTATCAAAACTACAAAGCAGACAGGAAGAGCTTGGACGCTCTCGCGAGGAAAGCCTTGACCTTGCTGCTGTCTATTTGCATCCCAGTGCTGTTTGTGGTGCTGGTCGCTATCGACCACATGGAGTATGTTCGAGCCTTCAAGAAGCGCGAGGAGATCCGTAACCGCCTCTTCTGGGTGGTGGTGGACTTGCTGGACATACTGGACATCCAAGCCAACCTGTGGGAGCCACAAAAGAAAGGGCTTCCTCTGTGGGCCGAGGGCCTGATGTTCTTCTACTGCTACATCCTCCTGCTCGTGCTGCCCTGCGTGTCCTTGAGCGAGATCAGCATGCAGGGCATCAACATTGTCCCCCACAAGATGCTCCTGTACCCCATCCTCAGCTTTGTGACCATTAACATCATCACTCTGTTCATCCGCGGGGGGAACATGCTTTTGTACAGGGACGCCAGGGTATCTGGGATCCTAATAGGAAAGAACATCTTGGCCATCATCCTAAAGACCTGCAGCTTTGTGCAGTACAGGAGACAGTTGCAGAACGCTCCTCCCGCCTTCGGGGTCGAGCTGCAGAAAAACTCAGTGGCCCACGCTCGCCCTGCCCCCACCCCTCCTCAAGTGGTAATGCAGGACCAGACACCCCTCCCCGAGGTGACTACTTGCGAACACACATGACAAAACAGCGGGGCGAACCCTGGAGATGTCAATACAAGCGTATATGACCCTCGGGACGCTGGCGGGGCACAGTGTTCCACACCTTATAGGGCATGCGAACACTCATGTGAACACACGGGAGATCAACATCTCCTCTGATGCTTCATGGCACAGAGAACACTGCAGACACTTAGTGATGATAGAGCGTCGGATCCAAAGCTGTCATTGGTGCAAAATACAGTATTATTTGTGACTTTGTTCAAGCGTTTCCTCCAGTAAATCCAGTTACCTGTGTATTTTTTCTAATTGTACAACTGAAAGAAAAAAGAAAAACAACCTATTGCAACTATTGCAAGATTAGAGGAATATATTTTTGAATTGTGTGTGTTGCATTCTAATCTTAAATTTAAGGGTCTGTGTGGTGTGGTGTGCATTTTCTGTTCCTCGAACGTTCCTTGTAGTCGAGGGCTTCAACGTGTCCGATTTAGAGGGAGCAACCAATGAGAGAATCAAACAGTTAAAAGCTTTCTCTGGAAAGAAGTGTTTTTATATGTGATTCTTTGATAAAGTATTGTGTACAAGATAAAGGCTCTCCTGTGCTCTCACTGGCTGTAAAAGGGGTTTTTCATAAAGGCATTTGAAAGTTACTGGACCAATCGACTATATTTCACCTTTTAATTAAAATTCAGCAAATGTTCTTTAATTAACCTGGGATACAAAGAAAGACAGACAATGATTTTTTCCCCCTCTTTTCTCACTCTGGTTCAATCTACAATTAGAGGCTGCTTACCTGACAAAGTGGTGCCTTTGCAGTGTCATTCATCTTGAGAGTGATCATACATTCCAGGGTGGCAATTTTGGGGGACATTTGAAATGAATTATCTGCACAGTTATGAACCGTTTTATCACAGCAAAAGGCTCACTGAGATGCAGTTAGCCACAGGATAAAGTACACAGCCGAGGGCCGGCACTGCAGATGGATAAATGATTCCCAAATAAGGAAGCCCGTTTAATATCCTCCTCAGGCAAACAGTAACTATCTGTGCTTGCGCTTCGTGGCGGCAGCAGTTCTAAGCACTGTCATTTTGTTCCTCACACAAAAGACAAAATGGATACCTCGGTCCAGTGATGTGAATCCACGCGACAAGCCAAGAAAACATCATGTCTTCTAATATGATAAATCTCTTTCGGCCCTCAGCTCTCCGCCACCAGTTGAGTCAGAGCTGGAGCTTGTTTCCAATTTCAGTGACGGACACGCTTAAATATTTTTCTTAAATCTCAATATGAATGTCAAAGAAAAAAAATGCTGGGAATGACATATTTGCTGCAAAGAATATTTTTTACTGGGCCTTCGCTATCTATCCGAAACATAAAACTGAAGGTCAGGTGCTTTAATTTGATGCAGTGCACAAATGACACTGGCAGAGGTGCCACAAAAATGTGAACAATGTTTTTGCAAAAGGTTCCTGCTCTTGTTCTTTTTATTTTTTGCATAATCTTTCTCACTGCGTGCATAATGTAAAAAGCACACTTATTATCGAAACCAGTGTTTTTTATCTATGCAAGGCTCAGTTACAGGAAGGTTTTGGTGGCACAAAACAGGCTGTTGCATTAAGACTGCTGCAGCTAGCATTATTTTGTCAGTGTTGTTGGCTTGTAAAATTACAGCATCAGCAATTTGGACTATAATACACAATTGAATTGTATTGTTTTTGCAGAACTGATGCAATGAAAAGAAAGCATTCATCCTTTAAAATAGTATTTGTGATTTAACACAATGATCAATTTTTTTTTCTGAAACTGGCAGCCTTACATCTCTCGCTGTATGGAGGACCACATAACAGCTGAAATGCCATTCTATTGGGTTCTACAAACAAAAGGAAAATGTTTCCATTTTTGCAAAAAACACGCAAACAAACCCAAAACAAATAGTTTGTTGTATAAATCAAGGCATGAAAATCCATATATTAAGGGGGGCCATTCTGTTCATTTCCAGCATATTTTCATCTTTTGACTCCAGTAGAGTAGCTTTGCATAAGTCACAGGTCAAAAATAATTCTTATTTCTTACACAGCCCCTCACTTCATCCTTCATCCAGCGGGTGGATGAGGAGATCCGCTCATTAACATCATACGCAGCCGAGAGAAGGAAAAACTGCATTTTTACAAACACTAATCTCCTTATTTGAAACTTATGATGTATTTATTTGAAATATAAACATTCGTCACTGCATGACATAAACTCACCAGCCAGTTTGTTAGGTACACCTATTCAAGCTCTCCATCCATCCATTTTCTTCCACTTATCCAATTCAGGGTCACAGTTGGGCTGGAACCTATCCCAGCTATTTTAGATTGAGGGGTGGGGCACATATCGCACATTTATCAGGGCTATTACAGTTCTCATTAATGCAAATCTCTAATCAGGCAGTCACATGACAGCAACTCAGAAGATTCAGGCATGAAGGTAAGGGAAAGTTCAAATTGAGCATCAGAATGGGAAAGAAAGGTAATTTAAGCAACTCTGAATATGGGATTGTTGTTGATACCAAACAAATGGACTGAATAAATGATAAATGGACTTATATAGTGCTGTTCTACTCCATTTGGTGCTAAAAGTTCTTTATACAACCTTTTCCATTCACCCAAGCACTTTTTTCTACATAAGCGCTTTCTATCTAACAATCGCACTCTGAGAGATGCATCAGAGAGCAACTTGGGGTTAGTGTGTTGCCCAAGGATATTTGGAATGCAGACTGGAAGCAGTCAGGGATTGAACCATCAGCCTTCTGATTAGTAGATAACCTCCTGAGCTGCAGCCACCCCTTAGTAGTTCAGGATTTTAGTGTTTCAGAATCTGCTCATTCAATCAATATCTAGGTTTTATAGACAATGGCACGAAAAACAAAAAATATCCACTGAGAATAAATTCCTCAACGATGTCAGAGGAGAATGGTCAGACTGCTTTGTGCGGATAGGAAAACAGCAGTATTTCAAATGAACCCTTCTGCATACTTTGTTACAAATAAAGGTATGCAGAAGCAGAAGGGCTACAGCAGCAGAACACCACAGCAGGGGTCATTCGATATCTGCAGTAACTGTGTGATGCTATAATGTCAATATGGTCCAAAATCTCTAAAATGCCACTGTGAATCTATGCCACGAAGAAATAAGGCAGTTCTGAAGACAAAGGATGGTCCAACCCAGTACCACCAATGCGTATCCAACAAAGTGGCCAGTGAGTGTATATGTTACAGAAAATACAGTACAGTCCAAAAATCTTGAGCCACCTCTTATTTCTTTATATTTTGCTTGCAAGGAGCCAGACAAAGTGCATTTGAGCAATAAGCTTCTATGAGCTTTCTGAAGGTTATTCAAACATTTTCTTTGGACATTGGCTACATTTTATTAACCTATTGTCTCTCATCATTTTAGAGGTCTGTTAAGCTTCTTAACACAGACCTATGACTCATTCAAGGATAAAAAAAAGACATCTAACTCGAGGAATGAACCAGTTTTGTGTCTACACGTAACAGAGAACTTAGCAGAGTTACTTGCAGCCTGTCACAAAAACAGATGATTTGTTTTGATTTCTTTAGTTGAATGTAATCTGAGAAATGCCAAAGATAACACAGTTTGACAGGCACAAAATACGCTGCCATGTTCTACAGTATGTTGACCCCTCTATGAAAAGAACTTAGTGACAGTGGGAAGGAAAAACTCCCTTTTAACAGGAAACACCTCAGGCAGAACCGGGCTCAGGGAGGGGCGGCCATTCACTGCGATCAGTTGGGAGTGGTAGATGGCGAACTGTAGATGGATCCACTTACTGTGGACCCATCAGAAATGGTCTCAGTGAAAGGGTGGCTGTCAAGAAGCCAGAAAAACAGGGAGAAAAGACTGAGGTATGCCAAATTACACAAGAACTAGACTAGTCAGTGACAACAGGCCTTATGGAGTAATAAGTATTGACAGAACAAAAGGCAGCCAACATCCAAAGAAGAGGTTTGAATGTCCTTGCATGTCAAGAAGCCTGGAGAACTATTTCTGAAGACTATTTAAAGAAATGACACGAAAACTTGCCTAAAAGAGTTCAGGCTGTGTTGAAGAATAAAGGTTGTCAAACCAAATACTGACTTTAGAATTGTACCACAAACAAAAAGCTTACCACTTATCTTGTCCAATTTTGAAAACACAGGCTACAAACACTATGTACTTAATTAATTTCATTCTTCTTTTATGTAAAAACAAAAGAAAAATGTAAACGGAGAGAACGCATTCTGCAACTTCCATTCATCCTGCAGTACCAAGATTATTTCAGGACTCCTGCTTCCTAATGACAGAGTACAGGCACATATTTCAAGGGTGAAAGACGAGTGCAATGCATAAAGAGCAGAGAAACTAGAGAGTTTAGGGTTCCATACATGTGCGCACTCATTTGCATTATCCAGGTTCCAGTTCATGTGACCTGCGTGCCATTTGACTGTGTGAAGAAACAACTGAACACACTGTGCTGAGGAACGTGCAAATTAATGCTAAGATTCAAACTCAGGTCCTTCTTGCTGTGATGTGAGACCTGAACATTTCTGACACCCAGCAAAGCACACTCTCCTTCCTTCCAAGTAAACTTCATGCACAGTCCAACTGCGGCATGTTTAACACGGTTATGCTTTGTTTCACAATAACAAGTGATTTTTAAAATTTATTTAAAATTATGCATATGGTGGGTTGCCATCAGTGCGACCAGATGATGTAGTACAGTCACACAGCAAAACCAGATGGCTGGAGAAGTGATAATGAGCTCATTTTGGCTTGCTCCAAAAGCCTTCACTTGCTTACAGCATGTAGAGTGTTAAATCAAACATAAATAGAATATCAGTATATCTATTCCTCTGCTATCACTATATAATTGCACATCTGGCAAATTACAAAAAGCTTTTATTCTTTTTTTTTTAAACTTCTTCTAATCATCTGCAAAGCACTTACTATTGTTTATGCCAGCCTAGGTTTATTATCTTAAAATGGTTTTAAAAGCATGAAGATTATCTACACCTTGAAAGCCCGGCTGTCCCTTTGGGCATTCACCCAACCCAATCAACCCCCACACACCACTGCGCATCACCCGTCCTGCACTGCCAGCTCCTGAATGAACGTTACATTCATCCAGATGACTGTGGGGTTTTTTTTTCTTGATTTGCTTTGCACTCTCAAATGTTAATAAACTGGAAAGGCTGCACCTCCACACTTACTACATTAACACTGACAAAGCAGCCCATGCCAAGCGAGCGAGCGGGGAAGACAAACAGCTGCAGTAAATTCACAGCATGACCTTCGTCAGTCTTGGATGGCGGGTAACAAATGTATTTTTCCATGGGATGCATGTTAGAGCACGAGGAGGGCAAAGCGGCGCAGAAAAAGAATGGTCACCGAGTATTGATTATGCTGCGCAGAGGGTAACTGATATTAGATTTAAAAAGGGCCACTTTCCCAAAACAAATAACGGGGATGTTATTTGGATACTGGAGATTTATTGTGGCGCTGCAATACCGTGTGTATTTAAAGCTTCTCTGTGATGCT